GTAACGTGCAAGGCCCCATCAGAGGAGCTACACAGATGCAGGGAGGCCCTGCCTGAAGGCAGTTTACACATCCCTGGGACTGGCCACTTTGGAATCCAGAGTCTCCACACACAGAGAAAGTGTCAGGGCATACCTGCAGGGGGGATGGGGCAGAAGGCTTCACAGCAGGGCCATCTTAAACCTAAGCTCCAGCCAGAGCCCCACCCGCAATAACTGGACAATGGCAAACACATGGTGAGACTGAGGCAGTGATAGTCACAGGGCACTGATTCTGGAATACTCAGTAACTCATCCCCTCAGCAGCCCTGCACAGCATCATTATCCCTGTTTTATGGATGAGGATAGAGAACTTCAAGCGGCTGATACATTCAGTGTCATGACTAAACATGCAAGCACCAAGATCCCAAGTCAGCTCCGCCCGACTCCATGCCTGTGTTCTTTCCATCATTCCGCGCGACCCAGGCAAGTGTCACAGCAAATAGCTGTGAGACCTTCAGAGGCGGGGGAGGGGCAGGACCCACAGGGGACAGACCTCGCTGGCTCTCCTGACTAACTAGTGTCTAAAAGCGCAAAGAAAAGTTTTCAGTGCACATTCTTCCCTCCAAACTTCCCCCCAACCCTGGCCCATCACTCTTGGCTTCCTTATGTGCTGTAAGTAAGAAACGGGGCAGAAGAACATCTCCTATAGACGGGGAAAACTGTCTCCCTTCCGTGCTGTCTGCCTCCTCCCTCCCTGAAGGAGCGTGGTTGAGTTTCCATTTAGTGATCAAGATTTACAAACTGTTAAATACCAAATCTACAGCTGTCTCTCTCTCTCTCTCTGCTAACATCTTCCTCCAAGGCTTGACTTCAAAAAAGATCCTGACAAAAGACAAAAATTCTAATTCCAAAAGATACACGCTCCCCAGTGCTCACAGCAACACTATTTACAACAGCCAAGACATGAATGCAACCTAAAATTCCACTGTCAGAAGATTGGATAAAGAAGATACAGTCTCTATATACAATGGAAGAAATAAGCGGGCAAACCCCGCAAACTACAAACCCTAAAACCTGTCAGTCCCAAGAAGAAGACATCACAGGGAGCAAACTAGAGCAGGGACTGGAGGAGCAGGCCTCCCACAAGAAAGAAGCAAGCTTCCTGTCCCATCGACACCACCTGCTTCCTTCCCACCTGTCCTTCCATCCAGCATCTGTTTGTCCCTTGTCTTCGGCTTCTGCACGCCAGCGTTAAAGAGAATGATTTGACCTCCAGCAAAGAGGGATCTTAGACTTCCCCAGGGCAGTTACACCACCTTGTACTGGTTGTTTCCTTGTTGGAGGTCCCTGACACACGGTGAATTCCTGGGGGTCAGAGGCCACATCTTACAAGTATCTGTTATCTCCACAGCCCAGGAAAGCACTGCAAGTAATAGATGCTCAGCAAGCGTTAAGAGAATATATGGATAAATGAATGGAAGTCAGCCAACTGTAGAGCTACCCAAAGTGCAGAGGCATCCAACCTAAAGAAGAGAGAAGACCCAGGGAAGTGTGATCCCACTGGACCTCTGCCCAGCAGAGCGGAAGCCATAGAAACTTCTCCTCATAGAAATAAAAGTCCACGCAGAACAACTGGCTCTCATTCTCCACAGATCCTGGTTCCAATTCCGTGTGACCTCACCCCGCTGTTATGAGCTGGAAGCTGATTGCTTTGCAGAATCCAACATGCACTCTTCCTCCAGGAACTTAGACTCATTCTGAATCTTTAAGGAAACTCCTCAAATTGTCAAAATCCTTGCTGTGTGATCCATGGTTCCTCCTTTGTGGACAGTAAAGGATCCTCCCTGGGTCTCGTCATCCCAGTGTTTTGATTTCAACACCCCACATCCCTCCCTCCGCCTGCCAAGAGGACAGCAGGCTCCCCACAGCCTGGCCCAGGCTTGTTTCCACCACTGCAGCACTGAGAGGTTGGAAGGGAGCTCCACGTCCGACCATCCAGCCCTTCTCCTGCTCTTCGCCGGGCACCCCAGAGCACCTGGAGCTCCCCAGAGCTGCTCGCCCCTTGTCACCACAGGAGGAAATACGACCCGGACAAGCCCGACCTCTTCCTAACTGCTTCCACCCCATGAAAAACACAACTGTGTGATCAGAGACAATCGCACCATTTTTCCAATATCTCCAGGAGAGCCAAGAAATAAGTGACTCTAAATGTGCCTGTCAGTTCAAGGTCCTTTAGAGACAAAAGGTAATTTACAAAATAAGCGCATTTCTAAAAACGTTTAATCCAAACAAATTATATACGGCTTCCCAGATGGCATTAGTGATAAAGAACCTGCCTGCCAGTGCAGGAGATTTAAGAGACTCAACTCTGACCCTGGATCGGGAAGATCTCCTGGAGGAGGGCATGGCAACCCACTCCAGTATTCTTGCCTGGAGAATCCCATAGACAGAGGAGCCTGGCGGGCTACAGTCCATGGGGTCGCAAAGAGTCAGACATGACTAAAGCAACTTAGCATGCATATATAATTCTTTTCAAATTTTAGTTTGAAAAAGCATTAATTACACCAATATTCTGATAAATATAAGCAGAGAAGCTCACACATCCGATTTAAAGGATTACTCCTGACCCTTACAAAAGTAAAGAATCTGCCTGCAATGCAGGAGACCTGTGTTCAATCTCTGGGTTGGGAAGAACCCCTGGAGAAGGAAATGGCAACCCACTACAGTATTCTTGCCTGGAGAATCCCAGGACAGAGGAACCTGGTAAGCTACAGTCCATGGGGATGAAAGAGTCGGACACAACTGAGCGACTAACACAATAACTTACAAAGTAAGACAAAAGTCTCTCTCGTGTTGGCGCAGAGAGGTGGCTCCAGACTCCTGGAGCCCACGCCGGCCTCTGTCTAGAAAGCACAGCTGTGTGCTGGCGTTCTCATCTCATACTGTATCTTCCCCTGGGAGCTCAGGAATGAGCCATTCCTAAGACTCTGAGAACGCGGCAGGCCCCAGAGTCTGTGCTGGTGAGGAGATGGGGGAGAGACGTTTGCTCTAAAGCATAAAGCACATATCTGCAGGACGGGCCTGCCAACACAGCCTCCCCACTCTCTGGCTTTGCCCTCGCGACGCCTAAGGGAAAGACAGCTTCTAAGGGGTCACACCGCACACACCCCTGCTTCTGACCCAAGTGGCGACACATCTTGTGTCCATTATGCATGGCCAACAAGACCCCCTGGGAGGGGGGAATCTAGCCCACACCAGCAACAAACAGAAGCTGTCACACTGTTTGATTGCTGCTACTTCACAAGGCAGATCCTTCCGATAGCGTGACCTATACTCCTGCAGGAGTCCTGTTCCAGGACTGGTTCCAAAAGTGAGCCATGCCACAAGGCGGCAGAGACACAGGTCTGTAACATTAGACCAGTGAGCAACCTTCACAGGGCATCCCGGGTAGCAGGTAGGCCAACAGCTGCTTTGCCCATTAAGAGATCCTGTTCACGGCCTCTGCTCTCTCCCCAGCCGTCTGACTGCTGAGCTGATCTGTGTGCAGAGGTCGAGGCCTCCTCCCTTGCAGCTTTCCTGTGACTCAGGCAGAGTTAGGAGGAGCCGGGCAGTGACAGCTCCACAGACCTCAGTTGGAAGAATGAGCACAAGGAAACAGACTCGGGCCAAAGACCTCCCTAGAGGAGCCAGGTGGTGGGAGGAGAAGGCTGGGAAAGGAGGAAGTTCAGCCCCAGGCAGGGCCCAGCTGTGCCAGCTGGGTCAGTGTGGAAGGCTCCTGCCCCAGCCCCGTGTGCACCAGCCCACCTGCATTCAGCGGAGACTCAGGACCCCACAGGTACCTGAGGGCTCCGTGCCGTCCCCAGAAGGCTGTGGTTATGACATGAGCCAAGCGAGAGCCTGGCACTGATTCAAGCCCCAGCTCCCAGGGTCCGAGGAAGCAGGTCACACTGACGCCCTCTTCCCTCGCAGTCTCTCATACCTGAGAAATTTCAAGATTCTGACAACTCAGCACCCAATCTACGAATCTAAAATGTCAATAGATCCATAGCACCAAAGGCTTCTCTGATCTGCTGTTCTGACCTTTCTAATCCCCAGACTCGGTGTCTTTCCAGCCCTGCAGCCGGGATCTGCGGACTCTGTCCCTGAGCTGACTCCTGCGCGGCCGGGGGTGGGAGCTGGAGCCCTCACAGGACGGGTCAGTGCGCCTGCTCCTGCGGAGCTACCTCAGGGCGCCCAGGTCCCCCATCCCCCGACCTGCCGACAGGGATACGGGACAGCTCAGCTCAGCTCCGGGCGAAGCTCCACTTGGAGCTCCAGGCTCCGAACTCTCTGACTACTCTGCCTGCTCTGAATGGGCCTGAAGCCCCTCCGAGAGGAGCCAGACCCCGTGCTGCCCGGGGAGAGAGAAGCAGCAAGAAGGGAAGGCTCCCTGTACGTGAGACTGCCCTTTCGCTGCAACCCACGAAAAAATCCCAACGAGCCCCCACCCTAATCCAGACCTCCCAGGCCCAAGACGGAAAGAGGACTGCAACGTGCTGCCCTCGAGAAGAACAGCGAGCGCTCAGCTCCCAGGTCCCCGAGCAAAAGAAGGAAGGCTGGGAAGGAGGGTCCGGAAGGACTCGGACGCCCCCTTGAAGGAGAGCCGGACTCTCCAACACCATCCTCGGGGCGCCTCCTATCGGCAGTGCAGACCAGCGGCGGCTCCGGGGCGGCAACTTCCTGGGTCCCGGCCCCTCGGCGTCATTGGCCGCGCCGGGCCAACACCTTCCGAAGGAGCGGGCGTTCCTCCTACCGCCCACGTGCGTCCGCATGCACGCGAGTCAGAGCTCCGCCGAGCCTAGCGGCAGGCTTTCCCCGAAAAGCCCAAGTGGCAGTCGGAAGGGATCAACGAAATTCAAACTCGAGGGTGAGGAGGTGACTGCGCGGCATAAAGGACATTCGGAAAGTTAAGGGCGGGCACTCCCGCCCCCCCCCCCAAAATGGGGGCTACCTGGGTCCAAAGAGATGACGGATCGACTCACCTGCCGGGTGAAGAGGATGGCCGTGTCCCAGTACTCCGGGTGCTTGTCACTCACTTTGTTCAGCTTCTTCTGCCACGCGCAGAAGTTGCGCAGCGTTAAGGCCGCATTGCCCGTGACCTTGGGCCCCGTGTCGCGGTCTCCGAGAAGCAGCACCTTGACCACTACGATGTTGATGGGGTTGAGGATGCTGGGGTGGCGGTACAGCCGCGCCGCCGTGGCCAGCAGCGTCAGCAGATAGTGCTCCAGGTCCGCCCCGTGGAACTTGACCATCGACTCGTCCGCCACCACCAGCGTCTCCACGTATCGCGGGATAGAGACGAAGCGCTTGGCGCGCCCGGACCTGCGTCGGCTGCGAGCCTCCCCTAAGCCGATCCGCCGAGGCGTGTAAGGGTCCAGGGCCCGCAGGATGGCGGGGTTCCAGCCTGAGCCCACCCCGCAGCGAGACGTGAGATCTCCGGGAGGCCCGCCGGGGGCGCCCCGGCGCTGGAGGAGGTGTGCGCCCTGGCTGTTGCGCTGCGCCGCCGGCGCGCTGGTGTTGGGCAGCGGGCTAATGACATACTCGGCGCCCCGGTAGCCGAAGGCTCCGCGTAGCCCCCCGCACAGGCTCAGGGCAGCGAACGAATCTGGCTCGGCATTCACGTCCCCAGAATAGAAGCAACGTCTCAAGTCCGGAGAGCTGCGAATGAGTCCCTGGAGGGGGACGCCCAGATGCTCAGTGGCGAAGGCGGGTGCCAAGAACTGAGCATCTGGCGTCAGGTGTAGGTAAAAGTCCTCCTGAAACGCTGTGATCTGAAAAATGAGTCCCTGATCCCCGGAGTCCTCGGGACCCTGCCAATAGTAGTGGCGGCCGTTGATGTCCGGGTCTAGTCGGATGGGAACCACCACCTCCCGCTCTGGCTCTGAGCCGCCAGCGGGTGCCCCGGCGAGAACCAGCATTAAGATGCCCAGCAGAAGCATGGCGCCGGGCAGCGCACAGCCGCGCTCTCGGAAGGGCCCGGCCCGGCTCCCCGGCCGCCTGCACGGTCTCCTTGCAGCCCGCACACCGGAACCACCGACGCCCCGGGCCGCCCGCAGCTCCCAGAAAGGAGAACCCCAGGGAGGGAGACTCCTCCCAGAGCTGTGAGCGTGCACCGGGCAGCTCGCGCCTCCTACCTGTGCCTTTCCAAGCAGAGCGCGCCCAGGGAGCTTAAGTACAATCGCTGTCAAGTGCAAGGACGAAGATTTGCAGCAGAGAGCTAGAGGGAGGTGCCGGCCGCTTCTCCGAACCCCAGCGGTTCGCAGCGCCTCAAACCAGGAGCTGGGCGAGCCTATTAAAGGCCCCCTCCTCTTTGGGCTGCCCAGTCAGCGCTCTCCCTCCCTCCTCTCCCAGCCTCCCAAAGCTTGCAGCCTCCTGGGGCCACCGAAGAACTCGATCCCGCCTCCCAAACGCAGAGCCACTTGGCGGGGAGGGAGTGGCGTTGCGCTGAGGCAGGAGGCGTGGGCTGGCCAGAGCAACCAGCGGCGGAGTCTGCATTTGCGTCCGGCCCCAGTGCCCAGAGCATCAGTCCGGACCCTCGGCTGGCTGCGCCCTGGGTCTTAGCCTTTATCTCAAGGCAGTTGGGGTCAGGAATGCAATATGAAGACTGGAGGCTAACCCCCTCTCCCAGACCCACCTCAGCCCTCCCGTTGCAATTTCCTCATCACAGTGTCCCCTGAAAAATCCAGAACCAAGAATTGCCCCTGCACATGTGCTACAGCTGCCAGAAGGGCACATTCTGGGGCCCATGGAGAGCTTGTTTGGAACCCATGGCTGCCCAGGCCACAGGTGGGCAAGATGGGCTGGTACCGATGGTTAGTTTTCAAGAACTTTGCCAGTCAGCTGTTACACAGTCGTCACTAACATTTTAGTTATGTGAACTTATAAATCATGTGTAATAACAAGCCCCATCATGTCCTAATGATTTGAGCACAATTATTTGTGCTCTGGAGCCTGGGGGATCACCAGTCCTCCAGGACAGACCCTGGCACCCTGGGGGAGAGGTGCAGGGAGAAGAGCAGAGGGTAAGGGTGGGAGGGCAGGACTGAGCAGTGCCAGTCCCACATCACCCCGTGCAGGGGCATCATGACAGAAGCTCAGACCAGGTCCTGTGGGAGTGTTCATACTGCTCAAGGGGGCAAATGCTACCACCCAGGACTGGAGGGGGGTTGGGTGGTGGAGAGCCATATTTAGCACTGACCAGCACACCAGTGCCCAGGGATGTGGAGAAAAGGGTGGTCTTCCTGCCAAAGAGGAGCTGAGGCACTGGTGGACAGTGGAAAAATCATCAAGAAAAGGTACTTTCTGGGACTTCACTGGTGGTCCAGTGGCTAAGACTCCAGACTCCCAATGCAGGGGAATCTTCAATCCCTGGTCAGGGAACAAGATTCCACATGCCACAACTAAGACCCAGAGCAGCCAAATAAATAAATGAAAATAGACATTTTTTTTTTAAGGGAGCATCCTCAAAGTATTTCTTAGAAAAGAAAGAAAGAGTATTTCCTCCCTGACTTTCTCTCCTGTGATCCTTGACCAAATACAGGAAGGACGCTGGAGTGAGAATTTGAGGGTGTGCAGTGGTGATGCCATCAAGTCACGAGTTCTTGCTGACTTTGAGGGGAGTCTGGGAGCCCTGTTTCAGGCTCTGGGCCCCAAGGTCCTTCCTAGCTCTCAGTAAAACCTACGTCTTTCTTCTGAGAAGGAAGGAGGGCAAGTAGAGCACGGAAGGCTCTCCTCTCTCTCCTGAGACCTAGACAATCTTTCCAAAACCAAAGGGCTCTAGGTTGAGCTTGTAAGAGGAGGAGCAGGAGTGAGACAGTGCATGAAGATCTGAAGCATGAGAAGGGGGTGTGCGGAAGAAGTTTGGAATTTTCTTAGGAGAGTGGCTGCTGGAGTCAACAACTCTGCTGTGGAAGGGAAGAGAACGCTGGGACTGGTCCCAGAAAGAGCACTTTCTGCCCACTATTCTCTCCCCATAAAGGATCCGGGTGCAAGAGCCCCCCTGGGGCTTTGGAACAGGAAGAGTTCTCTGGTGCCCACTATTCTGCCGGGGCCCCGCTTCAGCTGAGATGTGTGGGGCTGAAATTCATTATGTGAATGAGTAAGAGATGGTGTTTACGCTCTGGAAATGAAAGGGAGAGTGTGCATGTGGAGGTCTGTGAGAGAGAGAGTTCACGTTGACAAAGGCCTTCTGTGTCCAAGTGTTTAAAGAGGGGCTGTAATTAAAGAGAAACACAGACAACCAAGGGCGATCATAAGTCACATCTTTAGGGCAGGCAATTGTTTTCCTACATGCAGCAGTTTTAATGGTGAGTTACAAGGTTTCCAATGACATTTTACGTGATCCATGGGGTTTGGTAGGGACTGTGATGTGTCACTAGCAATGACGGGCTCAGGAGAAGAAACCCTTCCCCACCTGTTGGCCTTATTTCCCCTTCCCCAGTCACACCTCGAGCACAGAAATGGGCCATGTGGGCATCCTCAGAGGCATTCGTGTACGCTGAGCACTTACTCTGTGCTCAGCACTACACCGATTTTCATGTGCATCGTTTTCTGTGACCCTGGTCTCTCCCCTCTTGGGAAGCTGCACTTCTGTCCAGTTGCTCTTGCCAGGGGTTCCTAAGCAGGCTTGAGGCTCCAGGAGAATGCAGGTTGAGCAGTCACTCGAGTAGAAGTCAGGAGAACTCCACATGGACCCTCCATTTCCATCACTTATCTGATTCTCTGACTCTGTACACTCTCATCTGTCAAAAGAAGAGGGACCACCCACCATCAGAGGTCTTCAGTCAGAAGACTGCATTGGAAATCTGAGTTCTAGATAGCATCTAAGATCACTTTCTGATCAAATACTGAATGACCGCTGAAGGCCTGTGGAAGGCAACAGAGCGCGATGACTGAGAACCCAAGCTCAGAGGACCCCGTGTGCGTCCTGGCTCCACCCCATCTTAGTTGTGCCTGCTTGGGTGAGTTACTGTACCTCCTGAAGCCTCAGTTTCTTCATTATTAAAATTAGCATACTGATACAAACCATGTCCTATACTCATTTTGAGGATTAAATAAGTGAAATTTTTAAAAGTGCTCAGAAGTGCTTGATGCATCATAAAAAAGCATTCTTAAAGTTATCTAGCAGTGCTGTTCATATTTTTATTGTTGCTGTGTTAGTTGCTCAGTCTGTCTGACTCTTCGTGGCCCCATGGACTGTAGCCCGCCAAGCTCCTCTGTCCATGGGATTCTCCAGGCAAGAATACTGGAATGGGTAGCCATTCCCTTCTCCAGGGGATCCTCCTGACCCAGGGATCAAAGCCAGATCTTGGGAATTGCAGGTGGATTCTTTATTATTTTTCTTACTACCAAGCCTTACTTGACCCTCCAAGATGCTTCCATCATCACCTTCTGGAGTTTCTGGTATTTCTATTGGGAAAAGAGGAGATCTAGTGGGCCCACCTTCTCCTAACTCCCCGCAGGGGCCTTCAGGGTCACTCCAGTGGCCCTGCTTTCACGCTAGGACAGTGCAAGTGCCACCCTCCGAGATCTTAAGATCTTTGGGAAATAAAAAAGACCTCTTCCCCAGAGAAAGACTGGGGCATGCCCTGCTGTCAGATCTGAAGACCTCGGCTTGGCCATCATACCCTTCACCTATTGAGCTGACCTATTCCTGGCCTTCTGGCCTCAGCCCAAGTGCCACTCCTTGAGAGAAGTCTTCCTAGACCACCCAACCTAGCAAGACCAAATCATGATTATGAGCCTGTATTTTATTTTTCTCCACAGCATGTACTTCTGTCTAAACCTAATTTGTTCACTTGGATCTTTACTCTTTAATTGACTATCTGCCCCCCAATCCCTCAACTAGAACAACAGTCAGACCTCCTCTGTCTCATGCACTGTTACCCATCCAGGGCCTGGTCCACTCCTTGGCCAGTAGGAACTCTCCATAGTGGCTCAGATGGTAAAGAATCTTCCTGCAGTGATGGAGACCTGGGTTCGATCCCTGGGTCTGTCAGGAAGATCCCCTGGAGAAGGGAATGGCTACCCACTCCAGTATTCCTGCCGGAGAATTTCATGGACAGAGGAGCCTGGTGGGCTAGAGTCCATGAGGTCACAAAGAGTCAGACACAACTGAGGGACTAACACACACACATAGGTAAATACAGAGTAAATGAATGAATGCACCCAAATCTAACCTCAGCTCAGCCTCTCACAGCAGACAGGGGCTCCAGATCTAAAATGGGAGTAAGGGCCTTCCCTGGCAGTCTAGTGGTTAAGTCTCTGCACTTTCAATGAAGGGAGCATGGGTTTGATCTCTGGTTGGGGAATTAAGATCCCACATGCTGTGCAGTGTGGCCAAAATGAAAGGTAGTAAGAAAAATAAATAAAAATTACAGAAATACAATGGGGGTCAGGCTAGCTCCTAGGAGGATTGGGAAATTGGGATTGCCCGAAATACTCCTCCCATAATTATCTGTGTCCCTCCTGTGAGGGGACCTCAGCCCAGCACCCTAGTCACCCAGCCCAGGACCCTCATGTCATAGTGGAGGCCACTGAGGTCTACAGAAAATTCCTTGTCTAAGGCTGCCCAGAGAGATGCTTTGCTCATCTCATAACTCATTCTCTTTACCCTTTCCATGAAAACCTGGCTCTGGCTAAATTAATCAATTTGGCTTCTTCTGCTGCAAAGCTGTTGCTTCAGCTCGCCCCCTCCCCAGTGCAGGGTTGCCCTCTCAGCCTCATCTCTGCTTGTCTCTACCTCTGGCCTCCTGTAGGAAACCACTTCATCTAACTCATAAAGCTTTGATGGCTCCTTTTGTCTTAGCTCCTTCAGCATTTGTGTATTCCATTTCTAGCAAATGAGTATTTGATTTGAACTTCTTGTCTTTCATCGAACTCAATGGACATGAGTTTAAGCAAGCTCCGAGAGTTGGTGGTGAACAGGGAAGCCTGGAGTGCTGCAATCCATGGGGTCACAAAGAGTCAGACACAACTGAGTAACTGAACTGAACTGAACTGCTTGCCTTTTGCTAATTAAATGCTACACCTTTTTCTGGGACTGGGCTACAGGCACCCTTGACTGGAAACTCATCAAAACCAGGGCTTTCTTTCCTTTCACATGATTCTCCATGACAGTCCCCCGAGCAGGTGTGGACGGCATGGCTGAGCCAGGTGGGTGCAGAAGATTTCAGGTAGGAGATCAGCCCCAGAGGGTGATGCCCTGAGGCTGGAGAGGGGTTCTCTTAGGAGACTCAGAATTCAACCTTTTCAGGTTCTAAATATTCACCAACATCAGGACCAAGGGTGACTTCTGCCTCTTGAAAAAATCAAGCATCCTGGCATATCTTCTCAAACAGGAAATAAGAATTAAGGGGAAAAGAGCTGGGGAGAAAGGAAGAAGAAGTTCTATGGTCCAGGCAAGATTTCAGTGGGGAGGCATGACTCGCAACTCCTCAGATCAGGTATTATTAGTTCACTGGTTTACCATGTTCAAGGTATCCTTTTTGGCTCAGATGGTAAAGAATCTGCCTGCAGTGCAGGAGACCTGGGTTCAGTCCTTGGGTCAGGAAGATCCCCTGGAGAAGGAAATGGCTACCCACTCCAGTATTCTTGCCTGGAGAATCCCACGGACAGAGGAGCCTGGCAGGCTACAGTACATGGTGTCGCAAAGAGTCGGACATGACTGAGCAAATAATACTTACCATGTTCACATTTAGATCAGAAAATAGATTTAAGAATATACCATTTTTGTGCTGTATGTCTCTAGCATTCTCTGGCAAAGATCCCTGAAAGTCCCAAGTATGTTTAATCTGCTTTTCATGGACACCATGCCCTAGAGTCAGGCAAAGCAGACAACATCCACTGAGGCATTTGGGAAGCTTCTTGGAAGGCTCAGGAAGTGTTAAACTGTGGAGACATCAGCCACGGGCTCCCAGCAGTGCCGGAGCTCTTGGCCTGTCTTCCCCCAGATGTGGAGACAGCTGAAGCAGCTGGAGATTCATCTAAGGCTCCATGAATTATAGCCCTGGGCCTGGGTCCATTCTTCTCTGCTCAGAGGAAATATTTAACTCTATTTTTTCCCTCTCTGCCACCCACTCTGTTTTTTCTCTGGGGCTCAGTATTTAACAGATGTCCCTTTGGTACTTAAGTCCTGTATCTGTCCTCTTGGATGCTAGGGGGCTAGAATAAAGGGTCCTGAGTTGGCCTGGGGACACTCGCCAGGCAGTTCCAGGCTGCCTCCTTCTTGTACCCTGAATACCCCTCATACCATCTTGAATAGCACCCACCACCCTCATATCTCAGGCCCACCAATTTAGTAATGCATTTCACAGATTTACACACACACACACATATACACATCAGTGTGAATGACTGGGACTCTTAGCTGTTTAGGATCTCGCTGGTGTTCGAACTGGTACAGGAGGAATACAATACCTAGGGCAGAGACAAAATGTGTGCTAAAACCTCAACTCCTGCCTGGGGATTTAGAAAGCACTTGTTCTTTCTGCCAAGCAAGCTTCTCTCTGCTCTGCTCCTCTCAGTGTACAGTATTCTCTTTCCCACCACCATCAGCATCCAGAATGGTAGCTTCAAGATCGAGCTTGGACCGGAGCCTCAGGCCCCCTGTGCAGACAGTGGGAAGCACCACCTTTACACAGGATGTCAGGATGTCAGGTGAGGCCCCAAAATAAAATTCATCCTTCCTCCCAAGTGCCATGTTTTCTTCCATCAACCCATCCTCCTTCTTAATAAAAATACTTTACATATACAAAAATAGCATATGGTTTGTAAATGAGTTCATATATATTGTCTGACTTCATCCTCACAAAACACTGGGGGGAGTGGTGGGACAGGAATTATTAACATCTCCACTTTGGGTAAGAAAAACAATTAACCTGATGGCCCTAATATCTTTGGAGTTTTTACAGAAAGTCACAGAGAACTCCCTAACATAGTAGAGGTGTGTTATTTGATTTGTATTCAAAGGGCATTTTTTCTGTTGTATTCAAATATTTTCACTTCCTTCCTTCCTTCTAAGCTATGGCATTAAGAGAACTCAGCTCAGTGGAACTCAGTTAGATTGCAGTTTGCTCTGATGCAGTGATCCTAAGCCACTTCGGGCCCACAGAGGATGCTGTAAACACTGAGAAACCCGATCCTTGGAAACACGCAGACACAGACACACACTCAGAGCTTTGCCCGTAACTTTGGGAGATTTGTAGATCCCCCAAGCAAGTCCTACCTGTGCCCAAGCAGAAGGAAAAGCCTCCTCTCAGACCTGTTGTTAAAAATGCAGAACAGCAGGGAACCTCCCTGGTGGTCAGGTGGCTAAGTCTCTGCACTCCCAATGCAGAAGCCTGCGTTTGATCCCTGATCAGGGAACTAGATCCCACATGCCGCAACTAAAAGCTTGCATGCCACAGCTAAAGATCCCACATGCCTCAGAGAAGATCGAAGATCCTACATGCTGCAATTAAGACCCGGTGCAGCCAAATAAATAAATGTTTTAAATACTTGAATATCAAACAGGCCACATGGGACCTGGGCAGAAAACAGCAGCCCTTATGTGACTGAGAGTAGCTCGCTGCTCCAAACTGCAGATCTGCAAGCTGGGGCCCAGCCCCAGCCCTGCTTGGTGGTGGGTTGTTCGGGGTGCCAGCTAAGTGGCCCTATCTCCTACAACTTAGAATTCCTTGTGTATGAAAAAGGAGGGATATTTGTACTGTCGTTAGTAAGGACACCAATGAAGAGCATCATTTAGAACTCTTGCAGTTAGAAAGTGCAATACAGTTCTCACTTGAGGAGTTTGCGAGGAAAACGGAGGTGAACTGCAGGCTCTGGCTGCCTTCCTGTGGATAAACTGAGGTGAGACATGCGGCCTGTGGAAGCCAGGGCCGCCAGCGCCTCTTCTCCGTGAGGGGCCCTCCCCCTTCTTCCCCTTTCACCTCACCCTCTCTCCAGTTCTTCTCCTGCACCCTCTCTCCCCTTTCTCAAAGTTTGCTGCTGCCAGCAGTTTCATTTTCACTAAGGCCAAAACAACTCATAACAGCATTATATTGTTTCCATTCATGTATATTTACACCTTAAAAGAACCCAAGCCTTTTCCAAAACAAAGTAGACAGTAGACTCTCAGACAGCAGACACCAAGGGAGGTGCTTATACCAGGAGAAAACCGTCACTCACAAAGACACACACACCCCAGTGCTCACTGCAGCACTATTTACAGGATCCAGGACACGGGAACAACCTAGATATCCATCAATAGAGGAATGGATAAAGAAGGTGTGGTGCGTACATACAGCGGAATATTACCCAGCCACAAAAAGGAACAGAACTGTGCCATTTGCAGAGATGTGAATGGACCTAAAGAGTGTCACGCAGAGTGAAGTAATCAGAAAGAGGAAAACAAATATCGTACGTTAACACACTTATGTGGAATCTAGAAAAATGGTCTAGATGATCTCATTTGTAAAGCAGAAGTAGAGACACAGACATAGAGAACAAATGTATGGATATCAAGGCGGGAGGGGTGTGGGATGAATTGGGAGACTGGGATTGACACATACAAACACTATATATAAAATAGATAACTAAGGGGAACCTACTGCATAGCTCGGGATCTCCACTCAGTGAGGAAACCAAAAAAAGAGGGGATATGTGTATGAGTATGGCTGATTAGGGCTTCCTTCATAGTTCAGCTAATAAA